GCCTCTCTCATCTTTTTAAGTGGGAGAACTTGCACAATTGGTGGCTGACTAAATACTTTTTTGCCCCACTATAATTCTGTTTTAACTCTTCTTGCTTCTATGCATCCTTAGTGCCCCTTTTTCTTCTACTCATTGTCTCCTAGGATTATTGTTGATCAGTTTCACTTAACAGAAGGGCTTTTTTTTGCTTATTCTGTTGCACTGCTAACACTGAACGAATGAATGAATGAATGGACTAGATGACTATGGGAAGTCTATACATATGAGTAGACTATCACCTTCATACTGGTACTGAAGGCCATATATAGCTATTCTGATAGGCTTTGAGAATGTTATGCTTCATTAATTGGTCCAATTACCATATAGAAGTGAATTTAATTATTTATGCACCGTATGAATGCATATTTTGCTGGGAGTTGGGCATCATATAAATTTAATAAATCATCGTCATCATCATCTGTTCCTGAATTTTTCACTGTTCAATTTCATTTGGAGATCCTGGATTCTAGTAGTACAAGGAAGAAAAGTCTTTCCTTTTCCACTTGTATATGTATGTGCTGAACCACATTTATTATTTTAATGCTTATTCTGCCATTAAGAGTTCTTTTTGCAGTTCTTTGCTGTCCTTTTAAACTTTTTAAATAATTTGGTGCTGTCAGCAAACCTAGCCTTTTATAAACTTCTAGGTTAATTCATTTTAGAGGGATATTTTAACATTACTATGTTTATTTTATTTTTACTACTTTTTCTTATATACAGAGCAAAAGTATTTAGGTTTTTCTTAAAAACTACCAGTGGTGGGACCTGATGTATCCATTCCATAGGAATTCCATAGGAATGGAGGAAGCTAGTGGGCTCCACACCTATATTAACCAAGTGGTATTGTTTTAACAAATTTATTAGTCCTCAGAGATGGGCAAGCGATATTACGGCATGTTGTTGTAGATGAAGGCCATTTTTCCAAGTGACATCCCCTCATTGAGAAAACATTTATAACCCTTTTCTGCTTTCCTTGCATTATATGCTAATACAAAAATAAAACAAAGATAAAAGTTATTTAAAATGATATTAGGGCACATCCATGCATATCTATTCAAGAATCTTGCATATGTGTGTATACTTGCAACCCTAGCTGCTGTTTTCCATCATGCTAGTATCCCAACAGTACAAATACATTTTAATTATTCATTTTGAATATACTTTACATTTTCAAATAAACCGTATTTAATTCCTATAAATTCAACCTGCTGTCATCCAATCAATATGAATTTAATCCTGGAATTTAACTGCCACATATACAGTTGGGCTACAGTATTTCAGATCAACCTGACTGAGAACTGGATCTAATGGATGTACTTCCCCATACTGGATTTGTAATTCTAAAATTTTTATTTTGAACACATTATGTCGTGCAATAAAAAAAATGCATTTATTACAGGTGAGGATAACACAACTGCTGTTATTTATATGATACTCTGGGTTCATTTCGCATGGGCTGGGACAAAGAGATCATTTTTAAAGACACCCCGAGGGACTGTACACGGGATCAAGAGTGTCTTTCCTGGGATAGGCTACCCTGTCCCTTTACATCGTCTAGACCTACGTCCTGGTATAAAAATGCAGGCGCACGTCACCGCTTATATTATTTCTTTCCTCACCGTTTTCTCTCTGACAGATGTTCGGAGATTATAAAATAAGCGCCCTCCACAACCAATCAAGCTCAAATTGTTTTTCTGGCTTTCAGTTCATCCGACCAGAGGGGGCTCGAGAGGAGGGAGGCGACGGCGTGCGCAGCCTTTCCTCCCCTGCCTGCGCGTCGCCGGGCATAGATCTGTCGGAGTGCTCGGTCTTGACCGGTTTGCCCGATGCTTTGCTGCTGGCAAGGGTCGCCCGCCTGTGGGTTTTTCTCGGGAGAAGGCGAAGAAGAGGGTCTTTCCCCCTTTTATGCTTTGCTTTCCGATTGGCGCAGCCGCTAGCCTGCCTGACACCAGCCTCCGGCTCCTCCGTTCCTCGGCTTGCCCTGCTCGCTCCACCTCCCTCTCCCGGCTCGCTCCACCCCGGCTCGCTGTCGTCGTCCCTCGCCCCCCGCCTGGCAGCCTCGGCAATAGCAGCAGCTGCTGTCTGCGCCGCTAGTCCGCCGTCCTCCCAGCCGCCCGCCATGGCTCGCGCGGGGGCCTCCCCCCTCCTCCCCCTCCCCCTCCTCCTCCTCCCCCTCCTCCCCCTCCCCCCCTCC